GGGGATGAGGGAAGAGAGAGCAAAGGGGGAGGAGGTGCGTTGTGGGTCATTCTCCCTTCCCTTGCGGGTGCGGGGCGCTGCGTGTGGTGGTGTCGCTTTGAGTGGCGTCATGTCCCGTGCACGGTGTGGTGTGGCTGCTCCGTCGGTGGTGGGTGCGGAGTCTTCTGTGCGCGTGGACTTGGTGGGCCGTCGTCTTTTTGTTCCTTCTCTCTGCTTTCACTTTTTTCCGCTCCCCTTTTTGCAACCTCTGCTTCCCTTCCTCGCCTTCTTGTTTTTTTTTTTTTCCGTGTCATCCTCGGAGCTTACCGACTCCTGCGACTCTGCTGCTGCTGCTACGACGGATGGTGACGGCTACTGTGCGGCGCCGTGCTGTGTGCGCCCTGACGGTCCTCCGTCTGCGGGGCAGCGGCGGGGCGTAGTGGCGGTGCGTCGCCAGCAAGTACGTTGGTGGAGGTGTCGTGGTCGGGTAATGACAAAGAGTTGGGTTGGCGTGTTTGTGGCTAGAGGAAACGGACAAATTATGCACACCGGCTTGAACCTTTTGACATTCCCGAGGCGACTGCGGGCGACGGTGGTGACAGCATCTGCTTCATTGCCGAATCGACGTACTTGGGCAGCCGTTGTGGATCGCGCTGCGGGAGGGCCGGTGCCACGGGGGCATGCTGCGTTCACAGCGCCTTTTGCGACGCAGGGCAGTGCGCTGCGGCGAAAGTGGCAGGGTGTTGAGAAGCCTCTTTTTCTGTTGTTTCATTACCGTGCTGCTGTGGGTGACGTGCACCTTGGCATTTTGGGCGTTTGCAAGTTACGGCCCAACTATTGAGGGGCAGAGAAAATTGGCCTGAATCACGGCCTCAAGGAATGCCGGCAGCATCTTCAGCACCTGCTGCAGGGGACACTCCTGCAGAAGAAGATGCAGCTAGCAGTGGGCGCGGGCTGCTGTTCCCCGTGCTGCTGCTGGGGGCGCAGGCAGTTCGGGTTCAACTCGGAAAGGAAACGCCTGCAAGAGGGTCTGCACCACTGTGACCCCCGACAGTCTCAGCGCCGGGAAACACACAACAGACAACGTGGGCAGCAGATACGTCGCAGCTGTGTGGGTCCATGCCGCACCGCTACCGCTGCCGTTGCCTGTGAGGCTGGGTAATGATGAGGCGCAACCACACACACACTCACACACCCTGGCAGGGACGACGCAGACTTTTTGTGTGCTCAGTTTGCTTCTCTTTCTTCTGGGCCAACGTCTCTCCTGTGGTCTGAGGGATGTTTTTGCTCTTTTTTTTTGCATCGTCACTCCGTGCACGCTCTCAGTGGGTGGCGCCCCTTCCCTTTCCTGTCTGCTGCTGCCACCGATACACACGCGATGCCGGCCTCGTTGCTGCGCGTTTCACGGAGTGCCCAAACGAAACACGAGGCCGCGGAGACCGTGAGGGGCAAATGCGTAATGTGCGACCAGGCAGTTTTTTTATTCCTCTGTGTTCCGCACGGACAATGAATACACGCTGCTCTTTTCTGCTTCTGGACACGTGAAAGAAAAAACATCTGCCGAAACATTTTGTGTTGTTTGCTCTCCTTTTTTTTTCGAGTCAAATGACTGCAGCTCTCTTTTAGTTGGTGCCGTGTCCGCCACCGTCGCTGCGTGTCTCTGTGCTTTGTTTGCTCCCGCTGCCGGCTGTGCTGCTGGCATGCCTTCATTCTTCTTCTTCCTGCTAGAGGCACCGGTAGTCCACGAGGAGGAGTCATTTAGTTTCCTGCTGCGATGGCACGGGAGTGACGGGGCGTGTGGGGGCCGCTTTGAAGGCACCCGCTGCAGAGGAAGAGAACAGACGGGGTGTGCGGCGTGTCTCGCTGCGAGTGTGTGGGGCACCACCCATCGCAGCCTGCCGTGCGGCGTGATGCGGATCGGTGAGGGCAAATGTGCGGCAGCGGCAGACTGTGCGGTGGACGTGGATTCGCCCCGTCCTTCGCGTTGCGGGTGTGTGGGTGCGCTGTGGGGCCGGCTTCTCCTCCGCGTGTCTTTCGCCCTTGCACGGTGGATGTGTTTTGAAACGATCAATAATGAGGTGTGCGAGTGGCGATGGTGCGGCTGCTGCGGTGTGTGTGACGTGCGGCTTCGAGTGGTTTGTCTGTCATTGTCATCTCTCAGTGTTTTTGTGTGTTCCACTTCTCACCCTCCTCACTTCTCTCTGCCCCTCGCTAGAC